TCTGTGCCTTTGACACAACAGCTTTCCCCTCCTCCCTTCCGTGCCTGCAGAAGCCACGAACGTGCTTCCAGTCTCCGCGTAGTCTCCATCTCTCATAGAAGTGGAATCATGCAACAGGCATCCTTTGGTGTCTGACTGGTCTCAGCATAACATTCTCAGGGCTCACCCAGGCCACAGCATGACTTAGAACCTCATTGCTCTCTGGCTGCTGGATAGTTCATTAAGGGGCCCTGGTGGTGGAGGGTGGGCTTACATGGTGGGCTGCTGATCACAAGGTCAGGGATTCCAACCCACCCACCACTCTGCAGAACAGAGATAAGACCCCAGTTACTGTCCTATAGGGTCATTTGAGTCAACATCAACTCACTGGTAGTGAGTCTTTCATTGTGACCGCACGCCACACTGTGTTCCCCTTGAGCATGTATCCTACTGTTTACCCTGAACACAACATTCAGTATGCTCCCCATGAAGAGGAGAATTTCAGTTAGAATCATTCAGAAGTTTATGTATTACAGTGTAAGATCTCAACTGAGAGGGTAGGTATCAGGCTGGACTTTGAATATCTGGCCTTAATGGTGCTGGAGGGTGTGGGAAATAGAAGGATTTCTCTCAAGCTGTCTCCCCCAAAATATATGCCAGACTTAGCTGCTTGAGAATGACTGTACACTTGGAGGTCTTCAGGAGTGGATTGGGGTCACTCTCCCTGAGAGTTATCAGCTGTCTAGATCAAGCAGACACCACTCTTTATCCCACAACAAGTAGAGCCCACTCCCTTCTGATAAGGATAGTAGTTGTCTGTTTCCTTGTAGGAGTGGTCAAACCCGCCCAAGGATGACCAAGCTTAGGCCACATCAGTTGGACCATACAACGTCCAGTCTTTGGTGTCCGGCTCCTTTCTACTAGCATCATGTGTTCAAGGTTCACCCACGGTGTTGAGTGAATTAGAACTCCACTGTTCTTTGTAAATGAATAGCGTTCTAGTCTGCATGTGGTGGACGTCTGCCACATGGAGCCAGTCTGCTCGTGGGGACGGGAACATCACTCCACCTCTGGACTGTTAGGGATGGCGCAGTCAGCACGGGCAGACACAGGTCTGAGGCGCCTCTGCGTTTGGAATGGCTGAGGAGGTGCACTAGTTGTACGTTTAAAATGTAGCAAAATCACCAAGCTATTTTCCATGGTAAATAAAAAACAAAAACAACACTAACCCAAACCCTAAACCCGTTGCCATCAAGTCAGTTCTGACCCAGAGTGGCCCTGTGGGCCCTGTGGCACAGGGCAGAGCTGCCCGCCTATGGTTTTCTGAGACTGAGTCCGTGTGGGAGTGGACAGCCATGTCTTTGCGCCAGGGAGTGAATCATGGGTTCGGACAGTTGAACTAGAGTTAGCAGCGAGCACCTTAGCCATCGGGCCACCATAAGGGTTCCGGGTTTTTTTCCTGCCTGCTGGCCAACTCGTTTTCTTTTCCATTATTGTTGCTTTTCAGTGATTCCCATTCTATTGTTGATCTTGGAACAAGACCCAGTAACACAGCCACTCGTTCTCCTTAAGTTTTACATACTCGCTAACTCCACGGAGGTGAAGTTCTGAGCTTTTCTCTCCCTGAGACTATTTTTGCGTCTGTCCCAGTCGGCACACACGCTGAACTGCTGCTCTTCCCAACGGTCCCTGCCTCCGTCTGTTGCTAATGTATCTGGAATTCCTTGGTGACAACAGCTGCATCATAAACATCACAAGACTCTGTGCGTTAGCCAGGAGGTCAGCCGCTCAAGGACACCAGCCAGCACTCGGGAGAAAGATGAGGCTCTCTGCTCCAGTAAAGAATCATCGTCTTAGAAACCCTCTGTGGAGCCACTATGAGTTAGGACTGACTGAAGGCAGTGGGCTCTTTAAATGTTGGGTTTACCGATATTTCTGATAGACCTATCTGTCTCAAAGGACATGTTTCCAGTTAACACATGAATAAACCACATATTTTCTTTAAAAAAACACAGCTTATTTAAAAACAACATAATTATACCATTAACTTATAAAGGAAGCGATGTGGTGCTCTATCTTTATTACAATGTATACTATGTAGCATTACATGGCATTTGCGATGTTATGTTCCACACACCCTAAGGTCCCCTGGGTGGGTCAGTATGACAGTTTCCACTGCATTGTGTCTTTGCATTTGATGTTGGCTCTACAAGGACTGTATGACTGCACATCTTTATTACTGAAGTAGTGTTTTCATGAACAAAACAGATTTATTGATATTAACACTCATTTTATGTTCACATCAAATTGACACACATCTGTAGAGTTAGGTAGACCACACAGAGATTCTTGAGCTTCGAAGGCTTAGGAGAAAATAAGTCTGGAAATGTATCCATCTCGTTAACTGGATAAAAGTCAGTGGTGGGAGGTCAATGGCAACCGTTCCTGTCGTTGTCACTGAGGAACTCGGCATGTGTCAAAAGGATGTGTCCTAGAAACCGAGTGTGAAGAGCCAGCAGCTCATCGGTGACGTGGCGCACACCAGGTGCTCGTCCATGTTTCCTAACGACCCCAGCAGATCTCCCTAGCCCAGGCAGGGCCACTACAGCCACAGGTGTGCGGCTTTGACCAATCAGCCCATTGTTCTCTATTCAGAGAAGCAAGCCAGGTAGCCCAGTTGCTAACTCCACGATCCGTGGTTGCACCCCCAGCCTGTCCGCGGGACAAAGACACGGCAGCAGCCTCTTCCATCCAGACCAGAGCCCCAGACACCCAGCCTTGGGCTCCCCTACAGTGGCCCTGTGCCAGATCAAGATGCCCACAGGGGCTCTGCTTCCCCAAGTGCAGAATGTACTGATTTCCTGTGAGCAGGAACAGGAGCAGGAGCAGGAGCAGGAGGCAAACCAACACCTTTGGAGAGGGCTACGCACGCGGGCCACTGCAGAGGGGCAACCGGGAGGGACAGTGACACAGATGCAATGTGTCCAGGTTGGCACTGCCCTGGGAAGCTGCCAACCCGGAGGCGGTGGGGGAGGCCCCAGTACTGTCCCCACAACCTCAGACTCAGGTCCAAGGCTTGCCCCTCCTAACTGAGGTGGGTGGTGCCATCTTTCAGAGTGAGAGCCAGGATCCCATCGGTGGAAATGTAGCCTAAGGACAGATGGAGAAGTGAACAAAGGCCTTCTCTGACAGGGTGTTCATCACCAGGGGATTTATGATTGCAAATACCAGTAACTCGTAAAAGGTCCAATAGGAACATTTAAAAATAAATTATAACCCAACCACAGAAAGGCATGCAGTTCTGTTTCTGAACGCTTTTTAACAAAATGGAAAAATACTCACACAAGTGTCATATAAAAGGAAAATGAGATGCAGCACTGCATAGGCCACAGAGATATCTACCGTGAGGGGAGGGGCAGGATGTGGAGCTAAGTACAGTCTGGAGTCCATGTGGCAAAAGGTGTTCAATGAGCAGAGACCAAACTGGGACATAGGGGAGACTTTCCTGTCCTCAGAAGAAACACCTCTCCACCCTCCAACCCCAACCCTCGCAGCAGCTGACCTTTTGTTTGACAATATGCAAGGCACAAGATGTAGGAAACATGAGAGTCAGCCTACAGAGTACTTACTGCTTTCAATTTATTTTACTGGCTTTCCCCCCAATTTTTAAATTTGGAGTGAAAAATTATACACCTGTTGTAGGGGAGAAAAGGGACCCCACATTAAAAAAGATCTTATCGAGACACACTTATTAAGTCTCCACAGGTTTCTGAGGCTCAAATCTGTATGAAAGTAGAAAGCCTCATCTGTCTCCCAGGGAACAACTGATCGTTTTGAACTGTTGACCTTGCGATTGCAGCCAAACACAGAACGCACTAAGCAGGGCTCAGTATATGTGGAGGCTGAAACACTGGATTTAGGGCTGTAAATTGTAGGCTTCCACAAACCCAGTGTTCAGAATTTACGTTCTAAAACATGGGGGGGGGGGGGGG